AATCCTTTGGCTTCATGCATTTTTTGTCAGGTTGTTTCTTATGTGCCTGACATGCCTCCTCCACTGCCTTATGGGCAACTGGCCAAGTGTTCTGCAGTTGGGCTATCGACTCCACAGGGGGGGTATGTGTGGTTTCTCTTGAGGCAGTTCCAGCATAGCTCCAAAGTCCTGCCTGGACATCACCTTAAATGGGGTGAACCCCATGCTACTATGCACAGAATTGTTATATGCTACCTCTGCGAAAGGCAAAAGATCAGCCCAATTGTCCTATTTTATTTTATTTTATTTTATTATCATATTTATATACCACCCTTCTCCCGTAGGACTCAGGGCGGCTCACAGAATAAAAACAACATAACAATAAAAATGCTAAAACAAGCCAATTTAAAATCCCCAGACAATTAAAATCTCGCGACAAATCAGGGAATTTGCTGAAAAAGCCATGTCTTCAGGTCGGTGCGGAAAGTGCGGAGGTCAGGAGCCGTCCAGAGCCCGGTGGGTCGGGCTCAGAGGGTCGGTGCGGCCACAGAGAATGCCCTCATCCTGGGGGCCTCCGGCCGACATTGTCTGGCTGATGGCACCCGGAGGAGGGCAGTCCTATGTGAGCGCACTGGGCAGTGGGAGGCCGGTAAGAGGTGGTCCTGCAAGTACCCCGGGCCCATGCCATGAAGAGCTTTATAGATGAATACCAGCACCTTGAAGCGGATCTGAAGGGCCACCGGCAGCCAGTGCAGCTCACGCAGGAGAGGTGTTACACAGGAGTAACAGGCAGCTCCTGTAACAACCCGCACAGCCAGCATTCTGGACCAGCTGGAGCCTACGGATGCACCCCAAGAGCAGCCCCATGTAGAGGGCATTGCAGTAATCCAACCGAGAAATAATGAGAGCATGAGTGACTGTATGGAGGGCATCCCTGTCTAGGAAAGGGCATAACTGGTGCACCAGGCAAACCTGTGCAAAGCCCCCCCCTTGTCACGGCCGTCAGATGATGCACCAAGGACAGTTGTGAATCAAGGAGGACTCCAAGATTATGAACCCTTTCAGAGGGAGTAAGCAACTCCCTCCCCATCAGAAGTGATGGGGATACTAGATCATGAGATGTCGGTATCCACAGCCACTCAGTCTTGGAGGGGTTGAGTCTGAGCCTGTTCCTGCACATCCAGACCTGTACCGCCTCCAGGCACTTAGACATCATGGAAAGGGCATCCCTGGGTTGATCCGGGATGGAGATGTACAGTTGGGTATCATCAGCATACTGATGATACCTCACCCTGAAACTGCAAATAATCTCACTCAGTGGCTTCATGTAGATCAGTGGGTCTCAACCGTCCTAATGCCGTGACCCTTTAATACAGTTCCTCATGTTGTGGTGACCCCCAACCATAAAATTATTCCTAAGACCATTGAAAATATGTGTTTTCCGATGGTCTTAGGCGACCCCTGTGAAAGGGTTGTTCAACCCCCAAAGGGGTCCCAACCCACAGGTTGAGAACCACTGATGTAGATGTTAAAGAGCAGGGGGGAGAGAACCGATCCCTGCAGCATCCCACAAGTGAGGGGCCTTGGGGAGGATCTCTGACCCCCCGCCCAAACAAACTGCGTATGGCCCGAGAGATAGGAGGAGAACCACTGTAAGACAGTGCCCCCCACCCCCACCTTCAGAGCTGTTGCAGTAGGATACCATGGTCGATGGTATCGAAAGCTGCTGAGAGGTCAAGTAGCACCAGAATGGAGGAATACCCCCCATCCCGGGCCCTCCAGAGATCATTCACCAGGGCGACCAATGCTGTTTCTGTGCCTGAAACCCGATTGGTACAGGTCTAGATAATCCGTTTCCTCCAGGAATTGTGGAAGTTGGTATGCCACCACAGACTCAACAACCTTCGCTATAAAGCGAAGGTTGGAGACAGGATGAAACTTATTCAGGGAGGCCAGATCCAGAGCAGGCTTCTTGAGAAGGGGACAAACCACCACCTCCTTAAGTGCAGTGGGGAAGACCCCATCCCTCAATGAAGCGTTGATAATCGCCTGGATCCAGTCTCCAGTCACCTCTCTGGTTGCCACAACAAGCCAGGAGGGACATGGGTCCAACAAACATGTGGAGGCCCCCAATCTGCCCACAATCCTGTCTACTTCATCTATGGAAACAGGGTCAAAGTTAACCCAGATGTTACCTTCAAGACTTGCTCCCACCTCCTCATCGGATCCTGCCCAGTCAGAGTCTAAACCCATCTGGATCTGAGTGACTTTGTCTTGCAGAAATTGTGCAAAATCCTCAGCACTTCCTTGTAAGGGGTCCTCCCTCATTCCCTGATTGAGAAGAGAGCGGCCTTGTTCTCAGTCAGGGAACAACCCGGGCATTCCTCTGCAATAACACTGCCCCCATGGCTACATCACTTGCATCAGCTTGAATTACAAATGGGGTGTCTGGGTCGGGGTGCTGCAGCACGGGTTCTGCTGCAAACAGTTGTTTGAGCTTTTCAAACACTGCTTCGCATTCCATGGTCCATTTAAGTGGCTGACATGGTTTCGGCTTCCCTTCACCCTTAGTTTTTAAAAGATTGGTGATTGGTAGTGCGATCTTTGCAAAGGAGCGGATGAACTATTGGTAGAAATTGGCAAAACCCAGGAAACTTTGTAATTACTTCCTAGTGCAGGGAGGGGCCCACTCTAACACTACCTTTAACTTTTCTGGGTCCATTTCCACTCCTTCATTTGAGATATAATAACCCAGGTAATCAATCTTATCTTGGTGAAATTCACACTTTGAAAGTTTTGCATACAGTTCAGTGGTTCGGAGACTTCTAAGGATGACCACACCAATTTCACATGTCCCTCCCTCATTTCAGTGTATTTTAAAATATAATCCAAATACACCAATACTCCCTTGTACAAAAAGTCATGCAGCACCTCATTGATCAGTTACATGAACACCGTGGGGCCCCCCGAAAGGGAGCACCCGGAACTGGAAACATGCCAGGGGGCAATTAAATCCCATTTTCCGTTCATTGCCCTCCTTGATTTGCACCCAGTAGTAAGCTTCCCGCAAGTCTAACTTAGTGAAGATTTTTCCTTTTGCTAGATGCACCTACATGTCCTTCATCAGTGGCAATGGGTAGATATTTTCTATGCACATCACATTTAGCCTCCTATAATCAACTCATAGACATAGAGTCCCATCTTTCTTCTCCTGTAACAAAACTGGGGCTGCCACTCGTGGTCTTGCTGGTTGGATAAATTCACGTTTTAAGTTCTTGTCTATGAAGGTGCAAAGCTCTCCTAGCTCATGTGGAGTCATCGAGTAAAGTTTAGGCTTTGGGAATTTAGCTCCTGGAAGAATTTCAATACTGCAGTCCATGGGACAATGATGTGGGAGTGTATTAGACCCTTTCTCACTAAACACATCTCTCAAGTCCCAGTATTCCTTTGGAATTTTGGATTTCCTTATTGAGTGGTAAAGGGAGCTGGGAGCTGCTCCCAGCTCCCTTTACCCTTTGTTTCTCTCACCACTGGGTTTTGGGATCTTTTCCTCTTCCTTGGCCACTTTCTGCCAAATCCTTAAGAGCCCCCTCCTCCAATTCATGTCAGGGTTCCATTTCTGCAGCCAAGACAGTCCAAGTAGGAGGGGCCTCTCCATCCCTGGTGCCACTGTAAAACACAGAGTCCCTTTATGCTTTCCCATTCTCATCTCTACTGGTTCAGTTATAAAGTGAGCTGGGCCCCCTCCAGTTACAGTTCTATCTAGCTGGCAAAACGCTATGGGCACTCTCAGTCATTGGAGTCTCACTTCCACCTTTTCAACGACTTCAGAGCTAACTATGCAGTCTGAGTCCAGTAAAGCCAGCAACCTCCCTTGGGCCCCTGAAGAGGGCACCACTAACTCCACAGGGAGAGTTACAGGGGTCACCAGCTGACTTATCCAGGGGACGTCATCGCTGTTGCTGTTAGCCCCACCCAAGTTAGTCAGAGTTCCCAACCCCTCAGAGCCAGGAGGGGTGAACTCTACAACTTCCAGACCTTTCAGCACTGCCTCTCAGGTCCTTGGAGTTGATTTTATTGCCTCCTCCCTTGGGGTTGCCATGGTGCTGGGGTTGGGTCTGCTGGATTGGTATGCCGCACCTCTGTGCCTCTCCTGCCCATGTCAGAGGTACATCATGCTCCTGGGATGCTTCTTATGTGTGGGAAGGAAGGACTCACCTCATCTGATGGCCCTCCAGCATTCGTCCCGGGGAAGGTCGATCTCCACTTCTGCCGCCAATACATACCAGTGTTGTAGGGTTCATGGGGCCCAGCGCAAGATGCAGGTGTGGTAAATGTCATCATTGAGGCCATCTTTGAAGCAGTCAATGAGGATGCTTTCGGACCATGTGGCCAACTGGCATGCCAACTCTCAAAACTCCTGTACATGGGCACCGACCGTCATCCTTGGGTGATGGTCTTTATCTGGATTCTAGCCTTGCATTCAGCCAGTGGGTCCTCAAACCATTGGCGAAGGGCTGCCATAAAGTGGTCATAGTTCTGCAGTTGGGGGGCATTTCCAGTGTGGAGGGAGACCATTCACTCCATCGCCACCCCCTCCAGGGCCATGGTTACTCGTCTTACCTGGGCTTCTGCCGTCTCCAGTTTGGCCCCATACTCCTGCATGTAGTTCCAGACTTGCACCAGGAAGAAGCCCAATTGCTCAGGGTCTCCCCCATACTTCACATCCAAGGCTGGGACCTTTTGGGGTCACTGCCTTCGAGGAACGGTCCCTGCAGGTGGAGTGGCTTGTGCAGCTTGGTCTGTGGTGACCCTGGGGTCTTGAGAAGCTGCTTGTGTCAGAGGCCTTTGGGCTCTTTGACTTCCCCTAACCTGTTGTATCAGGAACAAGGTCTGGTTCAGCATGGCTTCCTCTGAGCTTCTCTCCAGGGAGGAATCTTCACTTTGCCCCATGCCCCTCACCCACCTGAGCCTGATGGGCTTCTCACTGAAGTCCATCTCATCTTGCCATTCTGCCTCACCTGGAGTCCAGTATGGATTAGTGGGGGAGCTGCCATAGCTCCAATTTCCTCCAGCTCACTCCCATGGTTAGACATTGGATGTTTGGTCCCCATGGTAGACTGCTGACCCAGAGTTTGCTTAATGTCAGAGCTGCCTTGGTTCAATTCCCAGGAAAGAAAAATCCTTGGCTCTATAGATTTAGAGAAAAGTATTTTACTAGGAACAAATTGAATGCAAACAGTTTCAAGCAAACTCTGAGGCACCAGAGCAGGAATCAGCATAGATAAAGATACAGTATACAGCCCAGCTGCCTTGTCGCTAGGCAACTGGAGGTCACTGCATACCAGAGCCAACTGACAACATGGCCTTGAGGCTAACTGCAGCTGCAAAACTATGATGTAAATTCTCCACAGTTCTCCACCCCACTTATTTTATGGCAGCAAACATCAAGCTAGCTGACAAGGTGTAAACTGGAAATTATAAAGTTTGTAAAGTATAAATGCATAGCTTTTAAGGACTAGGAAGCTAGGGGACTTGGAAGAATAATTTTGGGATTGACTAAATTTCATTAATAATTGACTTTTTTGGAGTTTTTAGATATTGGGATACTGGAATATTAGAGAGTCCCTTGGGAGTTGGGCGGCATAGAAATTCGATAAATTAAAATTAAATTAAATATAATATAATATTAAAAGTGGTAATTTTTAATATATTAATTTGGTACAAAATACTCAGCAGGAGACAATAAAGTTCTATGAAGAAATGTTAGTGATGGTTAAAAGTTTTTATGAAAATATGACAAAGAATCATAAAGCATTGATGGGATTGTCCAAAGATAAAGATGTGAGTGTAGAAGATCCTCAAGAAATGGTGGGAAAAGATGAACATAATATTCAGAAGATTAATGAGAAATTAGAAGGAGTGTTAAGAGGAGACAAGTCAAAATAAGTTACAAGAAAACAAAAACATTGAAAAGACAGTAACAATAAATACTAAGAATCGAATAGACAACAACAACAACAACAATAACAACAACAACAACAACAACTTTATTGTCATTGTACGTGTATACACAGTATATCCATACAATGAAATTCACTTAACAATGAATACAGTAACAGTGATACCCATTGTCATCAGGGCACTTGGTAGCATGTCCAAGAATTTTACAAAACACATCAAGAAATTGCAGCTTCCTGCAATAACACCAGCGGAACTGCAAAAAACTGTGCTACCTAGGACCCTGGCAGCAACCCGTATCAACCATTAGCACCAGTCAATCGTATTTGTGACACATTTTTAAATGTTCAGTTGACTGAATTTCATGTTTAATGAATAAAATAGATAATAATAACAATTTTATTGTCATTGTACATGTATACATAGTATACCCATACAACAAAATTCAGTTAAGACCCAAAGACCAGATCCAATACACATAATAATCCCCAAACACACTCCCACCCACCACAAATTCCCCACCCCTAAACCACCGAAGCATCCACAGAACAGACCAAGTAATGCTGTACAACAGCTCACTGATGGTGACCCTTTCGTTCATTGTTGAGTGCAATTATAGCTCTGGGATAAAAACTATTCAGAAAACGCGTGGTCCAAGTTTTAATTGTTCTGTATCTTCTGCCAGAAGGCAACGGTCCAAAAAGATTGTAAGCAGGATGGGAAGAGTCTCTGAGAATGTTATGCAACTTCCTCAAACAGTGAGATTTGAAGATGTCGTCCAGGGCTGGTAGCTGGAGCCCGATGATATTCTGGGCAGTTTTAATGATTCTCTGTAGAGCTTAATTCCTTAAGAGCTTACAATAGCAGAGAGGGGGAAAAATGAGGAAGACTTCCCAAAAATAATGAAAGATTATGGATGGGCATCCAAATGATGCAGCAGAATGAGATAAGGGTAAGACAGAGGGAACTATGTAAAAATGTTAGAAAGAAATTATAGGATCCCAAGAGAGAAATATAAAAGAATTACCAAAAAGTCAATAAATGATGAAATTCTAAACAGGCTGAGAGATTATGGATAGAGATATACTCTCTTGTAATATTGTGACTGTATTAAAACTAATAGAAATAAGTAGAATGTATAAATTGGGAAAATAGTAACACTTATACAGATATATAACAGAATTTATTATAACCACAAATATGCTAAGGTTAGGAGGTGGAAAATTATGATTAGGTATATTTAAATGTATTATTATGATTAACAGTGTGCAAAAAATATACTGGAATTTATAGCTTTTAAGGACTACAAATTCAGGAGACTTAGAGATATAACCCAGGACTGATTACATTTTATTAATAATTGGTTTTATTGGTGTTTATAGAAAACTGAGATATTGGAAATATGGTGGAACTTAGTGATTTAACAGGGGTCAACAAATATATTGTATGAAGAAATGTAATTGATGTTTAAATATATTTTTGGAGAAAGTGATAAAGAATCACTATGAGAGAATAGTACTGTTTAAAGATAAAGCAATGAATATGGAAGAACCCCAATAAGTGGGGGGGGGAGTACAAATTGGGAAAATAGTATTATACACATTGATGCATAAAATAATATATATTATAATTATAATGAGCTTATAATTATATTTATATAATTATATTATAATTATAAGATTAGAAGTTGGAAGATAATAATTATATATATATGTAATTGTATTATTATTGTTAGCACTGTGTAAAAAATGTATTGACCCAGTCATTACACTGTCCACAAAATATGTTGGTTGTTAAACGAAAACATATACCCCCCCCAAAAAAAAAAGTGGAAAAAGGGGCACATAACTAAGGCAGAATATCAGCAAATAACCCAAGCCTGCAAAGACGAAGTGAGGAGAACTAAAACTCATAATGAACAAAGGCTTGTGGCAAAAGTAAAAAATAAGGAAAAAAAAGCTTCTTCCAACATGTTAAAAACAAGAAAAAAGTCAAGGAAACAATTGGTCCATTGCTGGGAGAAAGTGGCAAAAATGTGACAAGCAACAGGGAGAAAGAAGAATTACTTAACTTGTTTTTTGCATCTGTCTTTACAAAAAGGGAAAAAACAGTCCAACTTATCAGAAACAGCACCACAAAAAACAGATTAGGAACACAAGTTAAAATAGGGAAGAAAATGGTAAGTGAACACCTGTCTACTCTAGAGTTCAAATCACCAGGACCGGATGGATTACACCCCAAGGTTCTAAGGAACTGACAGATGAGATCTCAGAACCACTGAACTATATCTTTCAAAGATCCTGGAGCACTGGGGAACTGCCAGAGGACTGGAAAAGAGCTGATGTAGTTCCCATCTTCAAAAAAGGAAAAAAAAAACAGATCCAGGAAACTACAGACCTATCAACCTGACCTCAATACCAGGAAAAATTCTGGAAAAGATAATCAAGCAATGAATCAGCGAACACCTAGAAGCAAACAAAAGCCAGCAGGGGTTTGTCAAAAACAGATCTTATTGCACTCTTTGCCAAAGTGATAAAATTAATGGATCAGAGGAGTATTGTGGATATAATTTACTTGGACTTCAATAAGGCATCTGATAAAGTAGACCATAACCTGATAAGATAGAAACATGTGGATTAGACAGCATCACCACCAGATGGATTCGTAACTGGCTGACCAACCACATTCAAAGTGCAGGGTTGGAACTACTGTATTTTTCGGAATATAAGAAGCACCAGAGTATAAAATGCATCTTAGTTTTTGGGGAGGAAAATAAAAAAGCTGATTGGCTGGTGGATCGGTCTCCCGGAATACCCCAATCAACTGTTCCCAGAGGTGAATTTTAGCAACAGGTTCATTGGTTGTGAACTCTGTGCCTTGCTTTTTTTTCCAGCCTCTGAAACTTCTGAATCTCTGTTTCAGAAAAAACTTTTTTTTCTGCCTCTGAAAGCCTCCAAAACAGAGCTTCAGGAAAAAAGCCTCTGAAACTTCAAAACACTGTTTTTGGAGGCTTTTTTTCTGAAGCTTCCTTTCAGAGGCTTTTTTTCCTGAAGCTTTGTTCACCCCTGCATCTATTTACTCAAAAAGAATAATTATTTGACAGTTGAATTATTTGCTATTCATTTGATCATATTAATGATGAACCATACACTATAGGTCCTTTTAATTATAGCAATTTCAAAGTCTTATAGTGGAATCTTATTTCAGTTGTTCTTCAGCATTAGTTATTAATTACTTTAGAAATGGTTTAAAAATACACTTATAGGATATTAATATAATCTAGTTTCATATATTTTTTCATTGGTTACATTGAGAAGAGATATGGTCTAAGGTATATTATATAGTAGAAGTGCTTTTTTTATACCATAATTATTTGTAATTTAGAATATAATATTCAAATGTAAATGTAACAATTATTTTTAGAGATGTGTTTTATACTTCCAACTTTAGGTGCAGTTGTTAAGTGAACATTTGTGAATTCCTATTTTTACAGTTCAGATAAAACAGAGTAGTGTTTAGCCAGTGACTAAGCTCAATATTAATTAATTAATTATTTAGTCCAGGAATGTCAAACTCAATTTCATTGAGTGCTGCATCAGGGTTGTGTTTGACTTTGGGGGGCCGGGGTGGGTGTGGTGGATATGGCCCTTAAAAGCAGAAGAAAGCGGGCTTAAGCATCTCCTACAGCAGAATTTCCCAACCTTAGCATGTTGGCTGGAGAGTTGAGTACAATTTTCTAAAAGCTTCTGATCCTTCCGATGCTTGGTCTGGGTTATATGTTAGGAGTGAGGTGAATTACAATAGAGCTGTTGATAGCATTCCAAGCCTTTCTTATAAAGATGAATTGGATAAGTTTTCTGGATGGCTATTTTTTTCCTGCAGCCATAAAAGGGATTTATCCTATTTTTCATACTTGATGATTGTTTTGTCCAGCATCTTCACACTATATTACATTGATCCTCTTCTCTCATTTTCTTGCTGGCTAATTGACAGAATCCTGAGTGCTTTTTTGTATTGTTGTATGAACATTCAGCTGGGTTGTTCAGAGAAAGGACATAGTTGTCAGCCTCCGACTTTCTGC